AGACACCTGGGCGCAGCACTTGGGCGGTCGTTTAAAAACTTCGCGCCAGTAATCCTCGATAACGCTTTAGCGATGGGAAGCCTTCCAGAAGAAAAAGAGACGCCGTTAAAGTGTAGCTCACGACCATTTCGTGTTTGGTTTGCCCTTTGAAACTAGTAGGCACATGGGGCGCAGATGCGCGGTCACAGTGTATACCTTGGCGTTTAGGCGCAAGGAAGTTCGTGCAGAGATTAAATGTGTTATTATAGTTTTATGGTCTTCTCTGAAGTGAAGGAAGGAAAAAGAACTGGACGAAACCTTGTCGCATGCGTGTGGGCACTGTGAACAACCGTATAGCAATTAAGCGTGGATTTGCATGCGTGTGGGGCCTGAGAGTAAACCTATTGCAGTGAAGCGTGGATTTTTCGAGAAAAAAAAGTCATTTTTAATTAATCACATTCCGCTTTTTTTTTTCTTCTACGCAATAAAAATGATGAGCGAAGCAGAGTAGTCAAACCGAAATGGTAATCTAAGCTAATTTGTATACGTTCACGTCTTATGAAAACACAAACAAAAAGCAGCAAAAATAAAGCTTGACAAAACAAAAAAAAAAAAAAAAAGAAAAAGAAAAAGAAACGAAGACGGGAAGTTAAGGAAATTGAAGTTAACGAAAACGAAAATGAAAGTAGGGGCCATAATTATCGCGAGCGTGTTCATTTTTCTTTGGTCTTCGTTTTTGTTTAGGCCGGTTTTTTCATTTCCTTTTTGTACCAAGATGCCGAGAGTATGTTGCTTAGCAGCAACTCTGTGTGAACAATGAACTTGTTCGTAAACAGGAAAGAGACAGCAGCAACGTGCGTGCGCCACACTTGGATATTTCGAGCGAGGGAGCGAGCGAGCAGAAGAGGGCAGCTTATTGGAATAAAACGGCATTGTCCGCCCCAGAAAGCTGGGAAATAAATTAGTTCCGGGAAAGCGCTTCGATTAAAGGCGCCCTGAAAAGCGGCCCATGTCAATGCGCCAGGGCGCGTAGATTTGTTGTTCGGGTGAGGTCAGCGCTGTTTTCGGCGCCGACTGGAGAATGGGCGAACACGATAAGGGTCGTGTCTCATTATGCACCAGACGGTCAATCTCGACCCACTCAACTGAGCAGCAGCGTATGGACGTAGGGGTTTTGTCCCTCTCACCTCGACAGGCACACGAAGAACAAACACAGAAAACCCACAAAATAGTTTATCGCGAATTTGCTTTTCAGTGGGACATCTTTGTCGGGGGAAGACGCCTTTTGTGTGTGTGTGTGTGTGTGTGCGTGTGCGTGCGTGCGTGTGGGTGGGTTCGGGGGGGGGGGGGGGGGAGATAAACGACGTTCTCTTTGTCCGCTCTTCGCGTTTCTATTCGCGAAAATGTCGGCACTCGCGATGGCAAACGCGATATGCTGGTGACAGAATGGATTATCCCCAATTGAGATAGTGTCATGGATAATCTTTATGCATGCCATCCAAGGTGGTGAGTGCTACGTGGTGACACCCGTGGTGGCGGAGCCTGTCACGGCAATCCCGTCGCGCGATATCCTGTCACGTCGACGTCTGAAGCAGAAAGAAGAAGAAATATACTGCGCTCCATCGATCCATGCACTCTAACGAGGCGCGCGGATCAAGCGGGGAGTTATCAGCGTGGTTAGTCGATTGATATATTTGGCGCAGCGGCTTTTGCGTGTTACGTTTTAATGAGAGCGACTCGATCGGAGTTGTATTTTGTTTGGAAACTTTGATGGGAGGGGGGGGGGGGGGGGCAACACAGTTCAAGTACACGCACTGCAAGTCCAACTGTAAGCTGCAGAGTCTGAAACGTCCTTTGTGCGTGAAACGTCATTATCTCTTCAAAGGCAGCGAATTATTTGGACCGAGTTGATAAAAACAAAACAAAACAATAAAAAAACACGCCGGTGTTGTTGTTCGTTCACTCTTAAACAACACGTACCGCGCCTTGGGGCGCATTTAACGAGGTCGTAAAAGTTTTACAGTTGCTCGTAAAAGCCTGTATCTTTTTCTTTTTCTTTCGCGAGACAGCGCGGTAGTCTGCAGTGTTTTACCGGTACTGGATGGTTGTAATTCCGATTACAACGACCCCGTATCGCCGACGCTGGCGATTGATTTTCCGATTCGCTGTGACGACACTGTTTGGTCTGTTACACTTGTTAAGCCGGTTAGCGGCGCTCGCGAGCACGTGGTGTCGTCGATTCGAGCCCCGAGGCCCTCGGTTGGAGGCCTCGGAGACTTCGGAGTTCTCATTTGCCTGCTGCTTCTTCGCGAATGTTCGGGATGTTTACCCATTCGTAGCTCGTCGATAGGTTCTCGAAGTCCAATCCCGCGCGTGCATACTATAGAACCGATACCACGCGCGCACACACAGGACGACCGTGCGTGTGACCGGTGCCGGTTCTCGCACTCGGGCGCCCGGCACGATGTTGATTCAGACGGGACGGCAAGGTGTGAAGGACTGAGGAGGACGGAAGAATTCGCATCGAAGCTACGACGGCGAGGTTGGTAAAGCAGCACGATTCGAGACCGAATCCCGAGCTCGTATAGACCTTTCCAATGTTTACAAATCCACAGCTCAGCGTGCGATCTCCACAGCTCAGCACGCGCGTGTGCGTCGCTTCGGAAAGCGAGCGAATCACGCGCGATAGCCACGAACACTGAAAATGAAACCGGCCAGCAGCCCTTTTCTGGAAAGGTCTATAGATTTGGCGGTTGCTCCTGCCGCGAGGGAGTTCGTGCAGCCGTGATGCGTCCTTGCGCGCTTGTGGATTTAAGAGTACAAACTGTGCAACACACGATCCGAGTAAAAGAAGACATGCCAGACGACTTCGCTGTAATACCCTACACTCGGCACCAGCTATTTTGCGCTACGTTGTCGAAGCTATGGGTTAGCTTGCACGGTGCTCCAACGCTGCCCAAGCTACTTGCGCGAGCTCGTGCGAACGGGATGCAAGTCGAAGCTTCGTAGTCTCGCAGCCGTGTGGCGCTACAGCACTGTGCAAGCTGCGCTAGCCAGTGCTGTATCGTAGTACAAAATATCTCACGTTGAGTATAAATATTGATAACATGTTGTTAAGGTGAGAAATCGCATGTCCCCTCGTTGTCGACATGGCTTGTTGCGGTGATTCACATGATGCACCTTGGCCGACCTCTTGTCTCTTTTCTGAATACCTCTTTCTGTCACTCCGTATTTGGCGTGGGGTGTCTTGCAGATACATTTATTCGAGTACTTTAGATACTTTTTTCGTATTTCCTGTGATCTAACAATTATATCAGCGAGTAATAACCGAAAAAAAAAATCGTTCGGAATTCGTCTTGTAGGCGGTGTGCTGGTTTGGTGTCCATATCAGACTCCCGTATTACTCGACCGCTTCAGATCTTGGCTAGCTGTGAATGTAATGAGACAAAATATCAGAAATGATCGTCTCCAAAATATATTCGTAACTCGAGCACCAAGAAAGGGATATCGCGTAAAGAGAGCGGCCTCTTTGTGTTATCCTCCAGGATGCGCCATGGCGAAACAGGTCGCAATAGTTTTTGGCAGACTAACTTCCCGTAATATAAACATTTCTTCGATCTATTTTTATCTCGGATTTCGCCGAAGGCTAGAAAAGTCAGCGGGATCTGGCACAAGTCGAAGCGGGCCAAAACAAATGCCCGCTTTGTCCGCATTGTCGAAGAGCATGCGATGATTCGATCAACTGCGTCCAGTCAACGACCAGGCGCAAAAGAACGGTTTGACCCGAAAATGGTTAAACCGTTTTCGGTTTAATGAGGATGCCGAAACATATCGTTAGACCAAAATACGCAGTCTGAGTTGCGACATTAAGCAATGCAGGCGTGACGTTTTGCAGTGCTTCAGGTCACAACTCAGACTGCTCTTTTTGGTATAAACATATATGTCTCATGAAAAAACAGTTAGGGCGCAGGCGAGCTGGTGTAAGTTTACCATTTTTGTAGACCACCTGAGACTGGGTGGAAGAAACACGACGACGTCTAAAAAGTGGTTAGCTGTGTTTGAGACGTCGTCCTGTTTCTTCCACCCATTCTCAGGTGGTCTACAAAAATGGTAAAATGATATATGTCTCGGCATCGTCATTTGCTGAGCTGCCTCGGTAAATTGCGGTGATTGGCTCTCCGATTGTTGTGCGGGAAAGTAGACCCACGGGCTTTTTGTTTAGAGTGAAGGAGCAAAACAAAACGTCACGCTCACCGGGCCTGTCCACATTTCGTGCACACATTCGCTGGATGCGATCCGTCGATCGCAGTTCATCCACTCAACAGGATGCGCAGAAATGTTTTCTGTACTCCGTTTCACTTTCCGTTCGATCGCAACCCACGATCCGATCGATCCAATCGAGCCGGGCACCGAAAGTGCGGCGCCACGGCTCTCGATCACTTTTTGCGTCTACTAACACTACCTTCACCAATCACGCACGCTAAATGCGCCGTGATACTGTTTTTTTTTTTTTGTATGTTATTGGTTTAGCAGGCGGTAGGCAGACCCCCAGAGACATGGAGGTGGGAAGTTTCTGGAGGCGAGGACATGACACTGTGGAGGGACACGTTTCCCACAATGACCAAAACCAATAGACGCTATTGGACGAAAGGGAGACTCGACTTGGCGCCAACAGCTGCTTTGGTCACCCTCGGGAGGGTGACCAGAGGGTGACCGAAGCGGTTGTTGTCACCTTTAGTCAGCTCTACTTTTCGTCCAATAGCGTCTCTTAGTTTTGGTCATCGTTGGGATCGCCTCCAGAAGCTTCCTACCACCATGTCCAGAGACACCGAGCGTCGTGACGGTCCACTTTTTGGTGATCGGCGCCCTCGCGCCGTCGGCTCCGGCCGGACTTGGAAGTGAACCGGAGTTGTTTCCGCGAGGTGTCGCCCGTGGGATGAGCTCCGTGTGTGTATCCCGCAGGCGGCGGCTCCGATTCAGCCCCGGGGCAACCCTTCGGGGGAGGCCCGGCCTGCCAGCGGGCTGGGCGTCCCGGGATGGCGCTGCTGTACCGGTTCACGCGGCTCAACGACCGCTCCAACACGGGCGTCTTCACGTTCATCGCCACCCGCTCCGTGACCCGGGACCTGCACCGGGACGCCACGACCAAGGACTTTCCCTTCGGCTACCACCGATGGGCCGTCTCGTTCGTTCGCACCGACAAGGTCTGTCTCCCTCCAGCAGCCCTTTCGCAACGACGCCCGCGAAGGGACACTCGTTGCATGCTACGTTCCGATACGAGCAGTGTTGGCAGCAACGCGTTGCCAGCAATGCCGTTACCTGTAACGCCTTTTTTTTTTCCGCGTACTCACGTACGCGTTACTTTTCAGAACAGTAACAGAGAACATACTTGCGTTACTCGCTAACTCTTTCTCCTAAGACTTCAAAAAGTACGCTTCAATATTTTTTCCGTGTTTCTAGGCGCGTTTTTTTCTCGCGAGTATTTGGGTGGCACCATAAAAAAGAATAAGATAATTATGTTAAATGTTTACGTACCTATAATGTTTCTTAAAATATGTCCCTTATGCATACCTCTAACGCCAGAAGAGTAAAACGTTTTAATTCATCGATAAAAAGTAACGCAAAAGTGACGTGCGTTACGTTTGATCGGTGACGATTACGCTTTCCGTTTATTTTGAGGTAACGTCGGTCCATAAGGCGTTCCTTTTATTTGCAAGTAGCGAGTAACATATTGCGTTAGTTTTTCCGTAACGCCTACAACAAGTTAAGAATGCGCCGTGTGAAACTCCCCACGTACAGGCCGCGGCATCAAATCGCTCCGCCGACCAACCAGAAAAGGCAGTAGCCACGACGAATTACGTGACGTCATTTCAAAATGGCCGCACCCTCGATCGACACGTGGATTGCACGTGACTTCATCGCACCGGCCTGGTGGTCGTCTCCAGAGCCGTATATGTAGAGAGTTTGGCCATTCGTTGGGAAGTAGAGAAGGCAAATGAGGAGGCATCATTGGCCGAAAGCGGGCTGGGCGTGTTTCAGGGTGTCTTCGCAAATTCGAATGTGGCCAACCAGAAGCCGGAAATAATACCCTGGTGGTGGTCGCGAGAAACAAACTTAATAAGTGCGTCGGAGTAACTCTCGGTCGCTGCAAATATGGTGCACGTGATGTTTCAATTACGGTCATCCAAAATCACGATGGAAGAGTGCGACTAGCGAAACGATCGGCATAATCCGTACGCCAAGCGCCGAGGGCCGAAAATCTGCCGTCCGAGCGGTCACGCTCTGTCCGAGTAAAGCAGAGTTGAGCGGCGGATTCGTTTCTTACATCTTTCTGGATGATCATGATCGAAACATCACGTGCACCCTATTTTCAACCATGAAGGGTTACTACACCTCACTCTTACGCGCTAATTAAGACTATATACCAACATATACATTTGATTAAAATAGTTCCTTGCTGCCACCGCTAGGGGATTCTTTTATTTTTCTGGTTGGTCAAGAGAGCATGCCAAGCCCTAGAGCCACTAAATGAGCTGCGCTTAGAGTATCGGCACTCCGTTCCCCGGCATTGTTGTGGGCGCCGCCATTTTGGCTCGTATGCAGAGCAGACGGAACTGCCGATCGTCATGATTCAAAAGTGCGACTTCCTCAGCATTAGATTCGGTTGTGGAAAGGTCACGCAATATTGCTTTGCTCTGTCACGAACTATTTCAACATTTGTGGAGGGCGGAAAGGCGTTTCCTGTGAATTCAGATAAAGCTTCAGATAACTGGCAACCATGATTTTACGACACAAAATGGCCAAGTGGCGTTACTCTGAAGCGTAGCTTATTTAGTGGCACTACCAAGCCCCATTTCCGAGTCTGGTGCACGCCCTGCCTCTGCCCGCGCCTCCCATTGACCAAACTCTCTGGTCCTCTCTATTTGCTCTTTTCGTGAAAAACAAGGTGGGTGGTGCGAAGTGTGTGCTCCAGGAAGTGATCGCTCGGCAGCAAGGCCACCGCAATGGCCGCTGACGTGACGTAAGTGCAAGCCATGCGTGCGCAGTAGACTCGGTTTAAGCAGCTTTGTAAGCGGCTTGAAAGCAGTTGCCATAGCAACCCGCAAAACGATTAACGTCGCAAGCCGTTGCAGTCGCACTCGGCTGGACTCACGCGACTGTGCGAACCACCCTTTAGCAGCCTAAATGTTCGTCGCTTGCGGAGTGAACGAGAAACGTCAAGACGATGCCCAACGGCCGAGCAGCGATGGCTGCGGACTCTCGTCGAACGCGCAATTAAGACGTCTGTCTGCCATTTTGGGTTATCCGCGCTCGGGGAAGCGTCAATTGTCGTCGAACAGATTACGTAATCGGCAAACACCTTTTTCTTTCTTTCGTTTTGTGCGCTCGTTAAAAAAAAATGCTAAAGAAGTTTTCGAAAAAAAAAAAAAAAAAAAAAACAGCTAGAGCTGAATTTTTGAGTATTTCTATTCCGGGGAACATGATTATCACGTTCGTTTTCCCCCAAAATGTAACTCAACGCGAGAAAACGCAAAGAACCTCCGACCAATTGTTGCGTCATAAAAGGATCTTTCGGCCGCCAAGCGCGTGTCGGTCGTGTGGGCAGCGCGTGCAATCGCTCGCTTCCTAGGTATCCCCCCCCCCCCCCCCCCCACACACACACACACACACACTGACACCAGTCGTGACGTCTTTTTTTTTTTTTACCTTTTTAAAAATTACAAGAGTGCGCGTGCATAGCTTTGATAAGCGTTGAAGATGCGCGAGAGCGGAGATTCCGAAAACTCCATTTGTGACGTCACGCTCCGAGAAGGAGGGGCTTCGGCGGTACCTTGAAAATTATTTTCTACAACCCCCGTGCACGAAATCGAAAAATAATCTCGATATTCGTGATCCTGGTGGCCAAATGATGACAATTTAGGTGTTTTTACTCAAACACAGAACCGCTTCAGTTTTCCTTTAAAGGAGCTGTGCAACAATTTTTGTACTCTGCACAAATACCGCTTAAAACGGATCCCTAACGTTAATGACCTATGAAACACGCGTTCGTTTTTCACCCCACGCAATAGAAGTCCCAGAAAAAAAATTTAAGAAAAACGAGTAGCGTTCACCCCCTCAACTCGCAGCCAGAACAAGCGGCCACGTGATCTGGAGCCGATTATATGCCGCCAATGTTGATCATAGCCACGCGCTGGGGTTGGCAAAGCGCAGGACACGCGCTGAGTTCCAGACATTGTTATGGCTCGGCTGTTGTCGTCGTTGCAGCGATTGGACACGGGCCACTACCCGAACGCTTCTCGAGCTAGTAATTATCACGAGCCTAAGTCGAGTGCCCACGCAATGCTCGGGTCCAATCTATGAACCGCATTCAAATATCGTCACTTGGGTGTACTGCGATCCCCGAGTTACGTCATCAAATTTTGCAAGGGAGAGATTGAATGAAAATAATCGCTTTTGTCCTTGAAATTACACCGCAACAAAGGAGTTTCTTGGCCAATGGCGTTGCGTGTGAGTATCCTTGAGTCCCAGGTGTGCCAGTAAGCTCGTGTAGAGAGAAAAACATTCCAATTGAATATCGTTGCACAGCTCCTTTAAGGTTGACTAAGATCGAAGAGTGCACAACCTCAGCCTACCTGCCGAACTCTGCCGGTATAAATGACTCTCTGGGTGTTCTAGCAACCCTGATCACCTATGAAACCAATTTCCGTCATGTACGTCGCCATGCACTATAGAGTGACTGACGACGCACAACACAATACCACGGCCACCGACACCCGAAGACACGCAATGCTTGCTGAGTCTCAAGCATCTAATAATAACTCAACGTCCTACTGAGATTGCGTCATAGGCTAATAAGAACGCCGAAGAACACATCACGGAGCAAGAAGGGTGTGCGATAGCGGCGAGATGTTTCGGTGGCGCCCTCCTATGGTTCCCCTTTGTGACGTCATTACCTTGCGAACAACAAGTTCGATGGTGTTTGTAAATAGCATGGTGGAAGCCTGAAATCATTGCGCTCTCAAAGCAACACGGCCAACACCGTCGAAATTAAAGTTCTTTCATTCCTCTTATTTCCGTCGATGGTATACCCTTTCCGACGTCATAGTCAGCTTTTGGGCCAATCGTGGAAGGCCGACCACAGCGACGCTTTCGGTCGCGCACGTCGCCAATACGGCCCTTGTAGGTTTAAACGATTCTCGATTTGTTGATCCCACCGATTTGGCTGTCCTTGGCTTCGTATTTTCTAGTGTGTGTAACGCGCTCTTTTATCCCGCGCGTCTACGTTTCCGCCAAGCGCTTGGGAGAGCTATTCGCTGCAATCCACGGACGAGGCTGATGCGACATTTAGACCTAAAAATGAAGTCTACGCTGCGATGCTCGTGCAGCGAAGGCTGTTTATTTATTTTATTTTATTTTAGCTCTAAACTCGTTTTCAGTTTCGTCATTCGCCGTGGATCGCAGCGACTGGACCTCCCAGCTGCTCTGCGGGAAAATAGGTGCATCAGATTTCTTGGAGCGAAAGGCTGCGCGGCGCCGGTCTCTGTTGCCCGTCGCCCAGTGTGACGTTGTTCTGCGCACGCGCGAAACAGGTGCTGGGAGTGCTGCTGAGGATCCGCAACCCGGCGCCGGGGTCCAAGTGCTACCTAGACTTTACCTTCACCCTGCTCAACCGCGAGCACTTCTCCAAGAACGAAGCCATCTCCGAGAAACAGGTGCCCAGTTTCCCTCGGAGCTCTTGCTTTGTCTCGCCAGCTGCACGCCTCGACAACCTAGAGTGCCGCGGCGCACGCCAAGCGCGCGCCTGGGGGAGCGCTAACTGATTGCGGGGATTTGTTGTAGAACTCGAACGGGAGCAAACGCTTTGCTTTCCCCTTTTTTTCTACTTCGTTTTGTTCTGTTGTGGAAACAACGTATAGTAGTAAGTTTGCGGATCCACGTTGAACACAAAAAACTGATATTCTACTCGATCGCACAAATTTGTTTCAGCGCTGCGGCAAAGGTGCGGACTCGACAGCGTGATTCCGCAAAATTCCCGAACACTCGCGCATAGAAAGCGCTTTCGAAAACACCCGCTGGCGGCCGCACCTTTGCCAGCGTGAAAGCTATAGCTTGCAAGCTACAGTTAGGTGCACGTGGATTAGAAAACACTACTCCGGGTGCAGTGACGCAAACGCTCTCGCATAACCGTACTTCGTTCTCTTACGAGTCCGGCCGCATTCGAAGGAACGGACACATACGACCACGAAACACATACTAAAAACGCGAGTCATTAATTGGGCCTTCCCTAGATATAATTGGTCTAGCGATGCTAGAACACGCTCAGAAACATGACAGACACCGTGGCGTTGCGCTTTTGAGGCTGTTCGTTAGGTCCCTAAAATTCCTTCATCCGAGAAAGAGGAAGGCTTCCTTTCTTTTCTGCGAGAGTAGCTGAGAGCAAGGCCGCCTCGGGATATCGCTGATGTGAAGGCATGGCGCGTGGAGATGCTGTCGTATAGGCAAGTTTCTGTTGACACGAGCGAGAATTATTAGTCAAAAAAGTAATTTAGAAATCACGGACGGTCTAGGAAACAAATTTTATGGCACCGGAAACAATTGGGTGCCGCGGAACAGCGCAGAAATCTAGACAGTGCGAGTGGATCTGCCTGCGTAGGCGCGGGTTTTATTGAACCAGGCGGGTTTTATCAGCTAGAATTATTGATATACACGTCATTTGACCTAGACAAATGTAAACATGCAAATTATTACGCCATATAATTATTGACGTGCAGTGTGAAAACAAGTAATATATATATATATAAAGATGCCTCGAGAAAGATGCGTTTGTTTTTAAGCAAACCATTTTAGCGGTGTAAACATTGTGTGGAAAGACGGATGTTTTATAAACAATAATTCCCATGAAACGGGAAGACACAGAGTGATGTTACGTAACATAGAAAAAAGGTTTCCAGTTCCTAGTAACAACGTAATGAATACAGTACCAAATGATCATGGAAAGTATTGCCTACAAAAACAAAACCGTATTTTTCAGGAATTCCGTCTTATTTTCTAGCCAAAAAAAAAAAAAAAAATACCGAAAACGCAAAGGTTTTTTGCTAGAGAGAATGAAACGAACGGCGGATAAAAGTAGCAAAAGTTTCTCTATGAAAGAGTTGTTATCTCTCCCCGTCTTCCGTGTTTATTCTTTCCAGTTAATCAGTCACAACGCGCCTTTACTAAAGAGACATGTTAACGCTTACAATTTTTGTCACTTATCTTTCAATAAAATATTTTTGAGCCAAATGGCTAGTTTGCACCGCCACCGAAATATCAACAGGAGAACAGCAAACCCTTCATAAGCCAGTAACTCCGTCAAAAGTCGGAGACCTTAATAAAGATAAATATACGGACGCAAAAATAATTCTGCCCCAAAACCTATCTTCCAATTGCAATATTCTACTCGCGTACTGTCCCATACGACAAACAAAAGTCATAAGAAGTTCTTACCCACTAAAGACATCCATGCGATCAAGCCCGCGTCCTGAGTAAATTTGAGAATTACCATCCCAGACAACGGTCGCTTGATGCCTCTTGAAACCTCTCAAAACTCCTCGGGATGTCTTTCACCGCGGCCGAAAGATAACACGGAAGCCGTAGCATAAAATGATCACAGACGAACACGCACACACGACATTAACAAAACAAAAAAAGGAAGTCACAATCCTCTGTGCAGCGGAAACTACTTTGGAAGCCGACCGCGCGTTGCATAACCGAAGACGTCGTCGTCGTCGTGCTCAAGCTCGTCCTCGTCGGTTATTTTATGGATATCCTCTTCTTCTGCAGCGTCTCGACGTTCTTTGTAGACACTCGAATCTCACGAACACAGGAGAAAACGCCCAAAAGAGAGCGATTTAATATCTCGAGTCGATACGCACATGTTCATCCACCTCCCGAGGCTATGAAGGCTATGGCCACTGCACAGGGCGTCACAAAAGAAAATTTACACAGTCTTTTTTACCGCAAAAATAAACTAGGCATCGCCGAACGCTCATTCTCCGCCCAAAGGTAGCGCTAGAGGTCACAATCAGATGCCAAAGTTTCAGCCCGATCCGTCACCTTATTCAAAAGTTATAAGTGATTTTCTGAAAATTTCAATGGAAAAATGGCGGCCGACGAAGTTTTCGAACACATGGGGCTCTATCACACCAGAAACCGAAAACGGGCAAAAATGGGTTCCATTTTTCCCATTGAAATTTTTAGAAAACCACTTATAACTTTTGATTAAGTTATCGGATCAGGCTGAAACTTTGGCATCTGGTTGTGACCTCTAGCTCTACCTTTGGGCGGAGAATGAACGTTTGGCGATGCCTAGTTTATTTTTACGGTAAAAAAGACCGTGTAAATTTTCTTTTGTGACACCCTGTACTTAGGCAGTGATGCGATGACAGTCGCCCTCTGTTCGCAGGCGGTATTTTCGTATCTTTTGTTGTAGAGATAATATAGAAACTTGCAATCCCCAACCTCAGAAATTCATCAAAGATATATAATGTTTTTATTAATATAAAGACGCTTAATTTTACAAACGGGTGAATTTAAAGTGGCATTTGGTAACATTTTAAAGACGGCACTACGACGTTCAAATAGCTGATTGTCCGGAAACAAAGAGCGAACAAGTCCTGGGACAAGCCCAACTTCCAGAATTGCATTTTCCCCCTGGCGTTGCTGACATCATACCTTCGAGCACTCCAGCCTTGCCTCTTGGTGGTGCTGCTCAGAGACCAGCGCTCCTCTGAGAAAAGGAAGGGAGAAGTGTGCGAGAGGGAATGAAGAGAAGGAAAACGGGAACCGGTTTTCTGTCGGCAGAAGACGATACACTGTCGATCGGCCTTTAAAGGGGCACTGACACATCAAAATCATATTTTTTTTTATTATCCGAAACGATTGAAAACGATGCCGGGACATTACCCTCAAAATTTGAAATTTGGGAATTCAGTATTTGTGAAGTAAAAAAACAATTTCCAAATACCGCATTCGAAGTTCCCGCGCGATCGGCGCCGGTGCCTTGACGTCAAAAATTGTGGAGACCTGAGAGTCCACTTTCCTTTCACCACTCCCCGCTGTTGCCATGGCGACCCAAAGCGAGGAGGATAGGAGCGAGCGCCGGCTAGCGCCGGCGTTGCGGCGGACCGGTTTTGAGCGGTGTTGCCTGTTTTCCGTTGGAGGATACAAATCCAGGAGACGGCACCACAACGAACTCCCGATTTTTGGTATTTCAAAAAGAAGGGCCGTAGTGCGTTCGCAATTGCGTTAAAAAACATGTTTTAGGATTGCCGTCATTAAATGTTATAGAGATGTCGCCTACAAAGCTTCTAAATTTCCTGATTTTTGACGTCACCGATCAAAAGAAGCGAGGAGGCGAGAGGCGGGAAAATCAAACGCCAAAAATAAAAAGGCGCGCGCGCGCGCGGGAAAATTTTTTTTCGCGATGCGGTTTTTTTTTGCGTGTCTATGGCTGCAACTTGCATCGTTTTAGACAATAAAAATAAATACGACCTTTGGGGTGTCAGTGCCCCTTTAAGGTGAAAAAGAAGTATAGACGCTTTGCACAATCGCCAGACTGAGCCGCCATAGCTGACCTTCTCCTGTTTTACCGAGATGCCGAGCCACCGAAGCGGACGTTTATGAGCCTCCAAAGAGGTCTATGATGGGGAAAAGGACGCAGTAGCACCTAAAGTCGCAATAACCTGTTCTGCTGTGGCAATGAGGACGTGAAGCGAACGGAATAAGAGGAAACAAAAACTGAAGGTCGCTTATGGCGGCGCCCATGCACAGCTGCTGCAAAGCGTCTATACGGTTTACGGGCACGTCGGTCGTCAGCCGTGCTCGTTGCCTTCCAACCGTGATTACCGTTCTGTTTTGTGTTCCGGTGCCACCGCCCAGGTGCGGTTCACGTCCGAGGAGTCTACGCACGGCTCGTCGCGCTGGATCCTGATCTCAGACCTGCAGTCTCGGCGCTTCTCCGACGAGACCGGAGAGTTCCTGCTGGAGCTTTCGCTGTCCAACGTGACGACCGTGTTCGAGACGGACATCCGGGTGCCGCAGAACCTGGTGAACCAGCACCACCATCACCACCACCACCACCGGGGCAGCGCCACCGGACACCAGACACAGAAGGAGTGGGCCACCGTCACGATGCCGGGCCAGGTGGCCGTTGCGGCCAACGCCTCCTCGCAGCTCCCTCGGTGCGCGAATCTACAAACACTCTGAAAGAATGCAGCCGTGCGTCTGCTTTTCTGCAGAGCGGCTATGGAATTCAACACTGCCATCTGCAGAGGGAGATTGGCAATCAAAAAGCAGAAAAAAAAAGAAAAAAAAAACTTTTCTAGTTGAGTCGTGGTAGTGGGCGTGATTTTCCACGTAGTCTAGTCATGCTTAGCGTCACGCAGATAACTTTGCATTTAGGTAAAAAAGTTTCTTGCGGTTGCTTCTGTAGATTGCAGTCGTTAAGTTCTATGAGTGCGCTGCTGGAAAGTACACGCTTCGGGCATTTTGTAGGGCGTGGTTTCACTGCTCCACTCGTCTTATGTCGTCAGGAACACGGGAAATTACGTAAGAAGTCTGCGGTAAAGCGACTCACCGAACCGGAGTTGATGATAGCCAATAAGTACGCATCGTATATCAATGGTGCATAAACTGCAGTAGGGTGAAGCGTTAGGCGAGTTGGTTTTGCATATTGAAGAATTAAAAACAGGGCGAGCAAGACGGAGAACAGGAGGAGCGCTCTGTCTGTCTACGCTTACTCTTGTCCTTCGTCTTGTTCGCGCTGTTTTTAATTCTTCATTGGCGCATAAACTGCGTGAATCCTGTGCGGATCTGCTCTTTGCTTTTCAAGTTGACTCAGCTGCTGCAAATATTCCGGAAAAAGGGTGGGGGGGGGGGGGGGGGGGGGGATCGGGTCGGGTCGGGTCTCAGACACAGAGACACAGTTATGTCTATCTTTCTATCAGACATTCGGCTCCATGTTGCGGTGCGCGTTAGCTGTTCTTGAACTTGGAGTTTAGGGAGCCACTGATATGGTAGCTACTATGGTGCGAGGTCTTCAGTGCATGAAAGTCAAAGTTCAAGAAAATAATTTGCACCCCCCCCCCCCCCCCCCCCACACACACACGCACAGACTTTACAGGTGGTATACTTTTGCTCCTCTTATTTTTACGTGACTCAAAGCGTGTTGCGGCCCCTGTGCCTGCCCCAGATTGGAGTCCTCCTACTTTTGCTTCGGGGGCTTCGAGTGGAACATCTCCCTGCTGCCTGAAGGGTCTCCCGAGGACGGCGACAATGGCCGGCCCAGGGTGCTCCTCAACAGGCTGACCGGTGAGACCGCCGCGGCCCTTCATCCTGCTCACTCGTGTATCCCTTGTTGTAGCGTTGTAGGAGGGTTGGAGGGGAAAGTGAGAGCCAATCGGTCGCTGAACGTGAGGCTATATATCTACGTGCCTGCTGGACAATGAACCGGCTGCCTAGCGGCACGTGACCAGAGCTGCGTCAGCTGCCACAAGACCCGCTATTGATTGGTGCTTCGAGCGCGTCGTTTTCGCTAAGGAGTGAAGAGAGCGTGGATTGTAAGCCGTAATGAAGCGAGTAGCTCGCGAGCCGTTTCGACGATGCATCATTGAGACATATATACGGCTGCGTGTTCGGTACACTCGTGTCTCGTTAATTGCACCCCGTTAATATATGCATGAGAAAAAAAAAAGTTTCGGGAACGAACTGGGTAAATACGTGCGTTTTTTTTTTGTTTAGTTATTAGGAAACACTCCTAGTATGCACGAGCTTTTAAGGAACGCAGGCATCAATTTCAACGGGACATGACTGAATTGACCAACGCGTGGCTCCGATATCGGGCCGAAGCGGAGGCACCGCTTTTGGCGCATACGTAGACGCGTCACTCGACGCCAATCTGGTATCTGCGCTGTGGCCGCACCGCAAACGCGGACGTGTTTGGGGGCAGCGCGCTGGCGGTGAACTTTGGGGTCGAGACTCAGGGCCGAACGTTCTGTGCGCACGCAGGGTTTGACCACCCGTGCCGAGTGCAGTACCGAGTGGTGCTGGGCGAGGGCGAGCGCCGCGCGGACTCCGGGGTGCTGGACCAGATCTCGGACCTGTCCGGCAGGATCCGGGGCTTTTCACTCCGGGGACCGGGCGCGGCAGACCTCCTGCGCAGGGGCACGCTCCGGCTCCAGCTCCACATGCTGTCCGCCAACGCCATCTCCGAGGCCAAGGTATACGAGTTGCGACGGCACTTTAGACAATGAAAGTTTATCTTCATTCCCTTATTTTTTTGTTTGTTTTCTTTTTCATTGTCTCTTCGGGGCTGCCCAATATGACCTCGCGGTTGTAGCCGCGTTAAATGCACATTCCCGCTGTTCTGCCATGAAATAACGGAGGTCAATCTACGTCTTATCGGCGAGAGAAAATTTCGAGAACGCGTTATTGCACCGAGTTCGCCTGCCGCTTTGTGCGATTGAGCCCCGATTTGTAACACGAACCGTATTCACGTCCCTAATGAAGCGAAACACAACGCACGCGCGTTTAGACACACGCACGCACTCGCGAATGAGAAGAGAAAAGCAAATTAAACTTTAACGCTTGCTCTCGCAATCTGTGTCTGGTGAAAATTCTTCGCCTAATCAGGATACTCGCCTTTTCGAGGCCGTTGCGGTAATGACCCGCGGCGGAGGTAAAGCTCGCTGATTAGAAGTTTGACTTAACGACTCGATGGGCAAATGGGGGCCTATATTTGGGTTGCGGGGTACAACCTTTTTTTATCTTTTGCTGGTGGGCAATGATGCGATAAACCTACCAGCGCAGCGCGCGCGCCCGTACGCGAAAGTTGCGCCTGCTGACGACTCGCTTTGCCGAGGGATTACACTGTCGCAAATTACAGGTGCGCTTCATTGCGTAATCAGGTAGTTCTCTCAGGACTTTGTCGGTTTCTGACGGGCTCCGTACGAAGCGCGGCGCTTCTTAATTGCATTCATGCCTTTTTTTTTTTTTTTAGGTTTAGATCGGAGTTATCGCTTTTATCATCGAGATCCGTGGCGAGTGGTCACGCTTCCTGGGAAGCCCTTTGTAGAACATCCCTGTCACGATCATAAACACTGCAGTTGAGGGACCAGACGTAATCGTGCATCGATCTTCTTCGGGGAACTTTCGAGCATAATGGTGGCACTGATCAGACTGAGTTCTGTGTTTGGCCAATGATTTGCTGTCGCCTTTAGAAGCCGGTTGCCCTCACAATTTGCGGGTAAAGTCTTATCCAGCCGCCAGCTGATCCGGCATGCTCCTCTAAAACAGAGAAACGAATTTGTGAATAACCTGACCGAGTAATGGGAAAGAATATGCGCATCGGCGGTCGCGGTATGAACGAAAGCCGGTGCATGTCCAGGTATCGGCGACTGGCAGCGGCACAACAGACCCTTCGGGCAATGGGGCGACGGCGCCCAACTGCTACGACCGGGACAAGCAACCCTGGTGCGTGGAGGTAGACCTTGGCTCTGACTGCGTGCGGCTCAAGCTCTACTACGCCGAGCTGCAGCACATTCCCCGGGGACATCTGAGATACGTCGCCTGGAATGCCTACCTTATACGCAGGTGAGCCGGCAGGCCCACAGGCTGGCAAAGAAGAAAATTAGGCGCCGAGTGCTTAGAATGGGAAGAGCGCCTTTAGAGCGCGCGACACTAGAGCGCCGACGTTAGAGAGAGCGACACGAGGGCGCTGCGACAGTAGCGCGCTTGACTCTAGAGCGCATGTCACGAGAGCGCACGACCAGTTAAGCGAAGACCGCAAAATTTGTGATGTACTCGCGGCTTCACAGAGAGAACAAAATTGTGCTATTTATCGCATTGAAGCATTGGTGATATTTGATTGATTGAATAGGCCTTTAATACAAATAATAATAAAACGGGCACGACTCTTTCTAACCAATTTTTGACTGACATGGGAGAGAAAAGGGGACAGGGGAGTAGGCTGGGGCATATAGGTGCCGGTAATGTTTTCAGTCTAAGATTTCTTCACAGTGCTGCGGTGCGCCCTCTCGGATATACTATAAATGATTTACTTTTTGCTATATCTGGTCTATTCTTGACAGGCATTTGAACTCCGATATTTTTGGTAGCTATTTAGACATCCCTCGCATAAGTTAATGAAGAAAGCTCACCGCTAAAAAAACATATTAGTAAAAAACTCATCGAAGGAAAGCTCAGCGCAATTTTATCGGATGCAGATCTTTCCAGTCTTTTGATTCCAGTCTTTTGACGGATACAGGAAAACCTCCCCTGCAAATTTGTGATTTACAAAATCAAAGAACTAATGAAGCTATTGTATTCCTAACGAGCGTATTGGTAAGATGTACTAGATAACAGAAAGTATAAAACAGAGAGAGGGCGAAACACAGACGAGTACATTCTTTCAACTCCCAACAAAGTTTATTCCATGGAGTGCGAACGCACGTTCCTCTGCGCAGAGTTAGGGAAATGGGGAAAGGGCAGAGGCAGAGGGGGAAGTAAGAGGAAGGAAGGGAGGGTGGGAGAGGCGGCTGGGTGCGTGGACCCGTTGGGGTCGGGCCGCTCACCGAGGTCGTCTAATCACCCCGGACAGCTCTTGGCTCAGATAATCTATCTCTCTATCGGAGGCGGCTGGCGAGGGGGAAGAGGCATTGACTCCGTAGTTTTTTATCGCAAAAGATTCGATAACTTCCCTGCCGAATCTCTGAGGACGGCGCCCGAGCACGCGCGTTTTCTTGAACCTTGGCTCACATCCTCCGCATGTGCGGCGATGTGCTGCAGTCGGGTGCATCGTTTCCTCACTGGGATCGGCGACCTCTCGGAAGTGCTCTCTCAGGCGGTCATTTAGGCACCGCCCCCGTTTGCCCGATATATTCTCCCCCGCAAGAGAAAGGAATGGAATAGATTCCTTTTCTCTGGCAAAGGACGAACTGCTTTTCATGTTTCTTGGGACAGGGATTTGGAGGGGAAGGATTATTGACCTGACGGCACATCTGCTTCAGTTTGAATTTGCACTTGAAGACGACTCCTATGTCGAAACTTGAGGCGAGCGCCTTGAGGCGATGTGAAGTGTTGTGCGTGTACGGAATGACGGCGAATTGTTTTCGGCGGGGTCGGGTGTAGAGGGAGGTGTGTTGGAGGAGGTAATAAGCCTCCTTAGAGTATTTGTCAGAAAGTCTTCTGGATATCCGGCTTTCCGCTGCAATTTTTTTTTTCTGCGAAAATGCACGCTACAAATATGCATCTTATTATTATTATTTTTTTTTGTAATGTCAGCTTTTTGTAACACTTCTTGGGTTGTCACACGCAAACATTTGGTCAACTCATTTCGCACTGTCATTGCTGAATTCCGCGACACAAATCCCTGCCAGTTTTAAGTAAAACACGCGATGCCCGAAAAAGTGGTCGGTCCGGGCGGGCCACTCGCGCTGGACTGGTTGTGCGCTCTCGAGTCGCGCGCGCTGACGTCGTAGCGCTCTTGAGTCGCGCCCGCTAACGTCGCGGCACTCTAGTGTCGCACGTTCTATACGTCGCGGCGCTGTAGTGTCGCGCGCGCTAAAATCGTGGCGCTCTACTGTCGTGCGCTCTAGTGTTGTACAGCCCTTAGACAGCGAGGGGTTCATCTGCTCTTGAGATATGGCGGCTCTGTTTCACGCTCTGGATGAGCGATTTGGCTAGAGCGGCGCGACTCTTAACACGGTAGTGATACCACGTTCGCACATGGGTATGTAGCTGTAAGCCACACTCGCCGTGGCACAGAAGGGCTCCTGCGCTGAGAAAGGAATAAAAAGCAGGCGAACAGAGACGAGGTGTTCTTCTGCTATCGAATGGGAGATATGCTACTTGCTATAAATATATAGTCCTTCCAATTCAACAAATTTAATCAGCGAATGCGCCAGCTCTAGGGTCTTCGGACATGCTTTTTTTTTTTTACTTATTTTCTTTTCAGAAGCGAATTCCGCAGAGTTTTTGGTATAAAACTGTCTATTCTAGTTCGTACATAATGCATTACGTTAGCCGGTAGCGGCATGTAGCGGGATTTTGTAGGACAATTAGTGGACACTGCGTGACCAAGTTACATCGAACGCAGGTCAGTACTTTCCCGTAATTGTCTTCGTTCGAACTGACGTGGGGTGTCAGCGTCAACGCCCAAAACTGTGCCGCACGTGAACACATTTCAACACACTGGTGGTTATGATGGTAGCCTTCCGGTCGGGTGAAAAAAACGGAAACAAAAAAGCAGCAGCAGTCATGTGTTCGGGCCAAAGGAGTCGCGCTCTGTACGTGAGTGCTTTATAGTAGAATGAGAAATGGGCTAGGCGTATGGGTTAAAGCTCCTATTGTAATTTTTTAGATTGCCTCAGCTCATTAGCAGATTTCGGGAAAAATCTCTTTACAGATTCATAAACGGTAATCTAAATTCACGCTCCTATTGTTATCGTTATAAGCGGGTGTCGTACTGAAGTTCATTTGCGAATACTTGTTGCACGAGGCACTTTAAAATCGCCAGATTAGAAGATTCATTGCGCTGGCAAACTTTGGGCTTTATAGTATGGGGATAAAACGCTACTTTATAGGCGGACTGGATTACGGTTTCATTAGCATCCATATAGAATATTTCACCTCGTGTCCCACACAATTAGGATGTCTGACTTCTCCATCTTAAAACGACGCCACCAGAGCAATCATTCTCAGTAATCCGTTCAAGGCCCTTACCCAGGAACATAATACAATTGCCACTGAGCTTGTCTCTTCTTAATCCTCCCTGTCTGCCTTTAAGTGGATTATGCTTGCAGGGCCCCGTCCTCCCTCGAGCAATTTCGTTGCTGATCCATCGGACAAGCTTGACCTCGGACAGGCAATTACTTGCGTGTTCGTGGTTCGAATCGCCGTTGTAATTAAATCGTAGTTGTAATCGAGTCGTGGTTGAAAACTTAGCGAAAAGTGTAGTAGTTGGTTTAGCTGATTCGCCGAACACCTACACTGCGACTCGCCCAGTCAGCATTTAGGTAAGAAAGGGACGTGATTACGTTAATTGAAAGGGTAATTTAAAAGCGATATATTTATTATTTAATGCAGCACAAAAACAAAAAGGCGGCCGGAAAGTGTAAGTACTCGTGTACGATAATTTCTGCGTAGTTCTCAAGTAGTGGCATGGAGATAGGAATTCTGGGCTGGTATCTACACTTCTTCCGAAGTTGTCACCATCATCAGAATCAGTTGTTAAAGGGGGTGATGATGATAATGTCTGAGCGGCGTCGTAAATACGTTTCTTCCAAAAAATATAGAAATTAACTATATATATATATATATATATATATATATATATAATTTATTTTATCTAGACAAATGTCTAGTAGGATGGGGCAAAAGGTGACTCACGTCGCCTGACTAGGCCCCATATCACTGTTCAACGTAGTAGTATAACAGCAAAAAAAAAAAAATATATATATATATTAATAATAATCAAAACGGTCGCTGAATATATATTTTGACAGATATAAAATGTTATTTAACATTGCATAGAATAATACAGCTTTTACAATAATACACTATATATAATAACGTTTCTAGCGTGACAGAGTTATTTCAGTATTTTATGCTCAAGCTAAAAGATCTGCTTTTGAAATGGTTTTAAATTTTGTGTATTGTTTTTGTAGCTATAAATCATTGATATTATTTCTCGGGTGGTGTTTTAATAATAGTGACATTAGACAATATATTCTTTGTATGCCATAGTTTGATCGTGCTTTTGATTGGTGGTAATGCATGTGGCCTAATGGGTGTGCCGTTTGTTGTGGCGGTATAATTGTGGTCTATGTGTTGAGGATTTTATTTTATTTTCTGGAACATCTGTATTGCCAATTTCTGCGTTATTGATTATTCTATTGTTATAAGAGAATACTGAGTAAGCGTATGGGCGAGAGTGGACGTGATATGGGACTTTGGCGATTGATCGTATTGCTCGTTGCTGCAGAACTTGGAGTTCGTACGTAAAGGTCTTTTAGCAAGTACCCCACATCAAACTGCTATAATGTAAACGAGAGTGAACGAGCGAATAATAGAGCTGGCGCTTTAACCGAATCGGGAGGATATTTTTTACTCTATTAGTAATTACCATTGATCAAGAGGTGGCTGGTTGTATATGTTCGATGTGACTAATTTACATTTTCTTAAGAGTACACCCCTAAAAAGTTGAGGGAAATATAAATAACATATTTCGCCGTATCTCGTAATCTGCAATCGCCTTTAGTTTTGTCTCGCGCCAACGGATTATTCTCTCGCTGTCGAGCTCTAATCACTGACAACTGCGTCGTCGAGCTCTAATCACTGACAACACTGAATTGGGCGTGGCTTCTTATTTTCACGCTTCTTGCTTCGCGATTGGTTCTTCGGTGTTGTTATCGGCTAATGCGGCAATCTGATTGGCTGAGAGGCGATAATGAGATGCACGTCACGCCCCGCCTTTTTTTAAAGCTGTTATATAACAACGCACGGCACTGACGTCACGCCGCTACGGTGGCGCTGCTGTCGGCGCGGCGCGTGCGCAGACGCGCATATGGTTTCTGCGCATACGCACTGCCCACACTTGGAAACGCTGGCTTGTTTGTAAGAAGCGTGTTGGTCTTATAACCTCGTCCCAGGTTGGAGTTCGCGCGGTGAATCGCGTTGCCCCCCCCCTCTTGCGTGCAGGCAGCCTGGCTCCGGAGCCAGGGAGAGCGTTCTGGCGCTTCGGGCGCCCCATTCCAGCTACTACGTCCAGGACGGCATGGATGTCGGCGTCGTCATGGAGACAGACGTCACTGTCAGGGAGGCAAGTCGCTTGCCCTGCTTTCCCGATCCGTTGCACTGTTTTCTTATCTAGCCCGAATATCGGTTGTGGAGCGTGAAGAGACTATCCTAATACTAGTCTACTTCCAAAAATCCCTGCATGCAACACTGCGCACGATGCATTATGGGACCTCTTTCGCTATGCGGAGTGCAAGTCGTCTGTTTCTTGCGCAGGAGTTGCGGTGACGTCAGAACGACGCCGAGCTCCGATTGGCTTTGATGGAAAGGATAGTGGGTAGACCTCAATGGCTAGATGCCTTGAGGTCTACCCACTATTTTTTTTTTTCAATCAGCCAATAAGAGCTCGGCATTCTGATACCATTCTGTACAAGAAGCAGACGAATTTGCGCTCCGCATAGGTTCATCGCTCGACATTTGTTTGCGCTATTGGGGCGGTTAGAGCCGCGACGTAACTTAGCTTGTCTTGAATCTCTGGTACACCATACAAAAGACACGCTGTTTGCTGTAGACATGAGGACATGCCTCGAGCATGTTCCAAGCTTGTTTACCTCATGTATGCTCCGAACCTGTCTGCAAAGAACTTGCCGTATCGCGCAGAAGTAGAATGTCAGCTCTGTGTGTCTACTCACCTGTCTCTTCTCGAAGGAAGGGAGGAAGAAAGGAGAGAGCTGGTTCCACCCGAAAATGAATAGCCAGCTCACTCCGCTTCTATACTTGTCCTCCATGTTTTGCGCATTTATTTATTTCTTTTTTATTCTAGAATGTCCAAACTTTACACCTTGTTAAAAGCTTTTTTATTTTTTTTTTGTATGGCCAGTTTGACGAGACAAGGAAGATAAACGTTTCTGGCAGTTTCTGCAGATTGTATTTTGCATTGTGTATTACCAGTGTGAGCGGGGCATTATTGCTGGAGGCCCATAGCATTCCAAGTAAGCACAGCCGCTCCCGTCCGACATGTAATGCCGGGAAACCCTCTTCGGATTTGTGGGCTTACATTTGTCAGATTTGCGGAGTTGCGCAGCCAAATGAAATTACAATGCGAAGGAAAAAGAAAGCGACCTCGCGGCGATCTCCAGACAAGAGGCACGACGATCCCTGGCGTTTGGGCTTTTTCTTACGTCGTTGTCAAAGTGCGGAGCACCTGCCTCGCTCGAGAAGCTAACGCGATCCAACCCCGGGACCGCCATGATCGAGCCGCGCTTTCAGCTCGGTCGCGTTCCCTCGCGACGAACCACATCCGCGGCGACCTAACCCGGTCTCGATCGATAACGGAAGATAAGCAAGAGCGCCACTTTCCCCGTGAAATGACATGGGCGACGAAAATACGAAGAAAAGACAAAAAAAAACAAAAAAACCGCGTTGTTGTAGAAATCGAACGAGTATACTAAACAAGCAAACATAGCCCCCCCCCCCCCCCCCAGAGAACCCCGTGGAAGAGTGCATGACCGATCCGCCCGGGAATGCACGCAAAAACATCGCACGCACCCATGTTTTTCTTTCTTTCATCGTGAGGCTTTTCCCGCTCGTTTGTGTGTGTGTATGTGGCGCACGGGGGAGGTATGACGTTATCAGTAATATTGTGGCAGACAACTCGGCTCGGTGGGACCCCGCGTTGACTCCACTTTGTCGCCGTTTCTCGCGGATCGAAGCGTTAGCGGCTAATGTTTTTTTTTTTTTTTTATGTTTTCTCTTATACGCACGGACACTATTGCCTAGCGCGACACCTTCTGGAACCCGTGAGGGATCTCGCGCTGTACGTGAGTAAGGTGCATTATGAAGCGCGATCCCTCAGACCCGATATGTTGCGGTGGCTATCTTTTTTTTTTTTTCTTCTTTTTTTCCCGAGAATTGTTACCAACGAACACGGGTTTTCTCACGGGCTCCCAGAAATGAGGGAGTACACTAATTGTCACTCGAGCATAGTACAACTACTGGTACAGATATTCCGCGTTTCCCGAGGTAGAAGCCAGGGTGGGCGGTAACGCATACGGCGTACCGGTAACGGGTTGTCCGGTAACGCAGTAACGAACTCGTTACGTTTTCAAAACAGTGACGGGTAACGTACTTACGTTACTCATTTCGAGTAATGGATGACGCAGTTACGTTTCTTGTTTACTTGCTACTTACTATCGAGAGCTGTCAATCAAAATTTGTTGGGTGAGGGTTTCGGGACGTATCTTCAAATTTTTGAAAAACCGGAGACGACGGACGACGAAAAGGAGATACACACAAAACGTCTCAAATGGTACCGTTTGAAACGTTTCGTGTGTTGTCCCCTTTTTCGTCGTCCGTCGTCTCCGATTTTTTCATAAATGTGCAACATCAACCAGCTCGCCTGCCTACTCAGTCTATCTTCGTATATTCATTTTGTACAAAACGATATCTTCGACACATTCCTAAAAAAACGCCCTATGAACCACAAAGTACAAACTTGCGTTGCCGTTTCCATGTGCTCGCGGAGCGTGTAACCTGCGTAGATATCCGTTAAGTGTCAGGCGTACTTTAAAAACGCGGAGGAATATAAAGAATACGCACAAGCTGTCCCATTGCAAATACTAGATTTCACCTTTTGAACTGTGGAAAGTGTCTCCGTTATATACCTTCATTTCCATTCATTACTATTCCAGCTTGTTAATTTTAGTTTATGCGTTTGTAAATACGACGACCTTCGTACGATGTACGAAACCATATGAACTTAATTTTGACGTGTCTGTTTTAGTCAAGAGTGTTTCTATTTTCGACAGAATGCCCCACGGTGCTCCTTAGCTAGCATAACAAATATGCCTACAAGCAGTTCCCCCCATCCCCTCCCCCCCAATTCTTTATACAATTGCGGAAGGTGGAAAGCAAAAAAACAAAAAAACAGAAAAAAAAAAAACTGACTTGGTTTGATCTGATTTTGGGAGACTATTGCGTGAGAGCCGGGCCGCTGAGGAGTCAAACGGTCCGTCCGCGATCTTGTTTTATCATCGCCGAAAAAGGCGTCATGGCCTCTCGATATGATAAGACGAAACGACGAGGCCTTTCTGGTGTCATTGCAAAGTCGGCCGGAGATCTGAGGGAGCAGGGGCCCCGACCACCGGCCCAACTCTTCCAGGATAACGTGGCACTCGGCCAAAACTCAAAAGATGGATGGTTTTGGGGAGCTTTCGACCTCCCCCTTTTTTCACTCTTTTTTTTTTCTTTGTGCCCGCTCGTTAATGCGTGACGTCACAGCGCGGGATTTTGAGTTGAGTTGAGGAAACGTCTTTATTGAATGCCACGCGGGGGGAGCCAAGAGGCCATGTTTGCGCGAAAGAAACCGATGGATCTTTTTCAAGAAGAGTTCTGCGCATGCGCAGACCCTCTTTACGCAGCGGCGAAAGCTCGAACTACGTTTGGCGTCCAGAAGGGGAATTACGCTGCCTGCCCTTTCTTGCCTCCTCTCCAACTCGAGTCGCGGAGGAGGAACAAGAGGTAGAACAGTATCCGTTCCAGACGCCAATTGCACTTTGGGCTTTCGCCTGGCTGGTGTGGTCTGTACGTGAAAAAGGGATCCATTTGCTTTGCTGCAGCCGCTGCCAAGACTACGCGCGGACATAAACAAAGCGACTCCACACACTCTAGAAATGTCGGTGTCTCTATTGTCCCGCTCAGCACACGGAAAAATAATCACTGCCATGGAAGAGAGAGAGATAGAGAGGGAGCGATAGATAGAGGAAGGAAAGGGGGGGGGGGGGGGACTTAGGGTATGCGAGGCACAGAAAGTGGGTCTTGGCCTAGAAGTAGGAGAATCGGCAGACATGTAGAAGTTACTTAAAAAAAGTAATTAAGTTAAGTTACTGAGTATTTACGTCAAAAGTAATTTGAGTAAAGTAGAAATTATTGAAATAGAAAGGTATTGAGAAAATTACTAATTACCGTAAAAAAGTAGTGAATTATTTTTGAAGTTACTTTTATATGTTCTTTTTTATGGTAAAAAAAAAAGTACAGAGGTTTTGATCCGTTAGCGAAATTGTGCTTGCCAAATATAAATCGGCTTGTTTTGTTGTTGTTGCTGTTTTTTTTCACAGAAATGCTTTAATAGCTGGTTCTGCTTCTGCGTGCCTAATTGTTTTGTACTTTCTTGTTTGTTTGGTGAGTGATGTACTGCGAATGCGTCATTTCTACTTTGAGGTTTAGCACTGTCTGAGCCTGATTTTTTAGACAGTGTTTGCTTGTTTACAGTGTTGCACGAAGTACATCTAAAAAGTGCTTCAAGTAAAGTACAAAGTAAATGAGAGGTTACGTACTTCAAGTAAAGGAGTTTACCGGGTGCAATGTACTTGAAGTAACGTATATAAATACAATATATTTCAAGGTAAAGTACAAGCACTTTTAACAGAATCTTTCACAAGGCCCTATTAGTCTCTAAACAGTGTTATTTTAACTGGTATGCATTGCTCCAGGGGTAATCGGAGGTGCATAAGTTTTTTACGGAAATGGCAGCAAATATTGCATAAGGTCAAGTCGCCGCAGTGTCGTGGTTTTACTCTCGCTGACGAGCTATTTGACACAATCAACTTATAAGGCACTTATTTCCATCGGTCTTATAGCAGCCATTACTTCACTCAGATAAAAATGACCAGATGACGTCTCGAAAGAGCGCGTTTTCACCCGGCGATACCGCCATTTTTTTGTTTTCAGATTTAGAGACTGTACATTGAAGTCGGGAGTTTTACTTTCCCCCAAAAATACAAGTACATGTTCAGATAATTTACTTCAAGTAAAGAACAATTTTTCTGAACAGTAGTACTTTAAGTACCATGTACGTAGAGTACTTCCCAACACTGCTTGCTTATTATTTTTTTATATAAAAACGTTGGGGGAATAACCTCAGGTTTCTCGAACGATCTTTAAATCTTTATAGATCTGCATATCTTGAGCTTTGGGAGGAAAGGCAACGCAAAAGGGTAATCTTTGCATTGCCCTGTGGCACGCGACTCTTCGAGTACAGCGCAAACAACGGGAGCACCAGATGAATTTCAGAGCATGCAGGTGCTG